GTCGCTTGGGACTCAATTTTCGCGCGTGCGCAGGTGACGACCCCCCGCTTTAATAAATGGATGTTCCGGGACAATGCAATGATCTAATTAGTTTTGGGTTTAAATACATCCATAATAATTATTTGATTTGCATATTTTTTTACTTTTCCGCTTTCCGCCGATTTTTGAGTAGTAATCATCAAATTTCCGTATAATTAAACTTAGTACATATGTGCCTTGGAACAATACACAAACCTAGTTAGTTTAGGGTTGAAACCAAGGCTTAATAATTGTTTAATTTGCATAATAATTTTCAAAAAAACAAACAATATTTGCATTTTAATAAGACTTGGTATATAAGTGTCTGGGAACAATGCATTAGTTTTGAATTGAAATTCGAGCATACTAATTGCAGAATTTGCACAATATGCATAATTATCTCATTTCATATGATCACATAAATGCTCTGGAGTAGTCCACAGACGTGATTAGTTTAATAGTGAAAAAGATGCATATCGATTAGCTAATTATTTTAGCCAAATTCTGATATTTCAAAATTCATATTTAAATTGATTAAGATTTAAATAGAACTTGTGGTAGAGGTGCTCTGGAATAAATTAGACTGAAACCACGGATGTCAAATCAAATGTATTTTCTGTAAGTATTATAACTTCAATAACGTGGATCACGTTATTTTCATGTTGTGCATTTCAAATATTAGTTGCCAAGCATCTTTGAAAAGCTATTAAATTTTGAATTATTTGTTAGTATGTCTCTAACACTCTCAGCACACAGGAGTTCTTTCTAAGCTTTCTTTGATTCCACATTGTATCCATTAATCACTTTGAGTGTATGTTTAGGTAAACCGTAGTATATGTGAATAAAATCGGCGTGATACATGTAGTTATTAGTTTTGGGTCATTTTGTAGTCGAATCAGTAGACACATGCTCTACAAATACCGCGTAATACTATTTCGCCTACCGTAACTGCTTATAGGTCGCCTACAAGAGATGGCAACTCCCCACGAGTTCACCTGGAAATTGTGGAAATGTTTTTGAACGATGGTGTTTCAAAATTCACAACGTACACAATTCGGCGGTCGCTGTAGAATAAATGTCCAATCGAAACAGGGAATGGGCTAGACTTCATGGAAACTGTGTCAAATTACAATATAAACAATTCCACTGGTTTTACGAATCACCGGTATATCATCGCATCGGGGAATCGAGTCTGCGGTCAGGCAGAGAAAGGGCGCGAGATGACTACGAAATTTTAAGTATACAAGTGACACAGTCCAGTGCTTTGGGGATTAACGATGTGGATATAATTAACTCAAACGGTTAAGAATTGTTGTTTTTCGGTGAAGGACTCAGTGCTTTCAATGTTTTAGAAAACCCGATTTTGTGCAGAAAGACTGCCTTGTTATGAACAACATGACCCTGCCTCCAGGACTAATCCTGCTTCTAATAGTTCTTGAACGATATTCCTCCATGTTTCCAGGCGGTTGAATACGCCGCCGATAGCGTACACTTCAGGATTGGACTAAAACTGTGATCACCTAAGCACGTTGGTACGTTTGTTTTGGTGACACCAAGCCTACGGGGTTGACTACAATACGTTCACGTTACGTTCGGATCGTGCCGAAATCGTGCCATGTTTTTCAATTTGTCTCACCTGTTATTTGACCCAAACATGACAGACGACACTTCTGACGACCGGACGAAGGAGGATTCGAAGAACATTTATTTATCAAGATTATCGCCGACTTGACAAACTGACACCTGAAAATAAATTCATAACAATAATTTCATGACAAATAATAACATAACAATACCCTTGGCACAATATTAATGTAATGCTAATGTTGACAAATCGGGTGTCGGGTAGTACCAAGTTTGGCCAGATTTGGTCATTACATTTATGATCCAAATATATTTTCACACCTTGTTTTGTGAATATTTATCTTCGTGATAAAATCATAATTTTAAGTAATGTAAACAGTTTTGAAGTTATGACAAAAACTGATTATTTGATATTTTATTTTAAAATGTTTAAGAGCTTTAGTAGAATTACAGACTGTTGACAGTCCTCGGGACTAATTTGTTAGTATACTGAAGCGATGTGATACCGTTGGAGTGTTCTCGGAGAGCCGCTTGAGCATCTCTCTTACGTTCCAATAAAATACCGTAGAGGGCAGTACACACATACTAAAATTCGACACTACAGTACTGCCGAAGTTGGATACGAACTGCGTATTTTTACCGAAATTATCTCCATGGTAACAAGCAGTTAACCAGCGGTCAAGTGTGTTTACAACGTAGCACATTGGCGTGTTCAACCACTCTGACAGGATAGCTTGATCTGTGTCACGTGATCATTGTCGGTTGCTAGGAAGGCTTAGGCAAGGCCACTTGTTCTCTCACACAGTCTCGCGTTGCATGGAGTATGGGTGAGATCTATGTCGTTATTTAGACTTTAAATATT